CCCAAGGTTACACAGCTAGTAAGTGTCAAGTGTTGGATCTGAGGCTGGATTTGAACTCAGGTCATCCTGACTTCAGGGCTGGTGCTCTATCCACTGCACCACCTAGCTGCCCCTTTAAGTACATGTTTTAAAGACACATTTCTCTCATACATGTTTAGATTTATAATCCTTTCTCCATTGCTCATAAGGATAAGGAGACTTACCTAGGATTATATTTCTTAGCCATAGCACTGTTCTGTAAATTCAAATTCTTCCCATCCTTCTGCCTCTGGAGAGGCAGGCTTTGCCCAAGATTTTAGTGTTTTCCATTGCTGAGAAAAAAAAAAACAAACCTTAAAGACGGCTAGCTGTCTTAGAGGTGAGATCACCACCACTGGAGGAAACTTAAGAATTCTTGTCAGAACTCCCAGTCTGAGACTCAAAAAGAAACTCAGAAAGGGCCTGGAGTCAGGAAGACCCACCTTCCTGAGTACAAATCCATCCTCAGACTCCTACTAGCTGTGTAACTCTGGGCAAGTCACTGTTTGCCTCAGTTTCCTCATCTGTGAAGTGAACTGGAGAAGAAAATGCAAACTTATCCAGTGTCTTGCTCTCCCCACTACTGGCAACTACAGCCTGAACTACCCTCCCCCTCACTCCCTTCCAGCCACCAACCATCTAACACGAAGAAGTTGTCCTGTCTTTGACGTAGGCACTGAGTTCTTCTGGTGTAGGTAAGGCCCTGCAGGGACAGTTAGGTGGTGCAATGGCTTATGGGTAGGGCAGGAGTGCTAAGCAATTTAGACAGGAGCTCAGAGGAAGCTAGCTGTCAGAAAAACTGCTCACCCCCAGTGCTGAAGTGGCTGGCTTTTGTAAGCCCTGCAGTTTTGACCCGTAGGATATAGGTTTTGACTACCTTTGCTACCACCTTAGATTTATCTGGAGTTGAGGACAAACTCTCTCGCTTCTACTAGTATAACTCAGTTCATCTCACAAGGCTTTAGGTTTTTGTTTGTTTTCTTTCTGCAAGATAATGCATTGTGGTATAGGGCAAAGACAAATGAATTTGAAGTCATAGCATCTTAGTTCAAACCCCATCTTTGTCACTTACTAGTTGTGTGCTTTGGGACAAGTCACAACATCTTTAGACCACAGTTTCTTCAACTATAAAATAAGGCTGTTGGATTACAATATTGATGCTGACAAAGGTCCCTTCCATCTCTAAATCTATGATTCTATGACCAATTAGATCCTTTATGACCCTGAAAATTTGTGATTCTATTAGTGAAGAGAAGATAGTTGGAGACCGATTCTGAGTATTTCTCAGGAGATTACTGATATCTCCAAAATGGAGTGCTGCCCTCTAGAAACCCTTGTGACAATAGAAGCCAATCAATTTTGAATGAGAACATAGAAAAAGGGCATAGTATAGTAGATAAAATGCTGAACTTGGGGGGAGGAGGTGTCAGGGGTCACATTTTTCCTGTTTATTTTATTGTATTTTATTTTATTTTATTTTATTTTATTTATTTACAGTGTAAATAGAAGGTAATCTCAGAGGGAAGACAGTAGCAGTGGGGAAGGAGAAGGTCTAGCAGAGACTTCTTGAACTTTGGAATGCTGGCTAAGTCTCATTCTCTGAGCCTTAGTACTTTTATTTGTAAAATAGGGATACCAATTGTAATACTTACCTGAAGGGTTGTTATGAGGTTCAAGTTAGATAATGTTTCCAACACAAATCTCAAAATGTTTTATAAATGCGAACAATTTTATTAATTTTGTCATGAAGCTGATTGAGCTGGACTTTGTGATTTTATGGGTATTTAATTAAAGTCTTTTGACTGGAACCACAATGACCTGGAATGCTAACTTCAAAACTCCAATTCCTTGTTAGATCCTATGCCTCCCTCCTCATGGTGCAGAATACTTGCATGTCCTGGTCACTTCAGAGTATAAGTTCTTCGATTTTTCCTCTTCTTTACAGAGGACCTGGATTCCAATCCTATCTCTGATGTATATTTTATGTGATCCTGGGCCAGTCCCTTAATCTCCCATCTCCCAAAGCCACAATTTCCTTATCTTTGCAATGAGAGGGTTGGACTTGTTGGCCTCTGACGTCCCTCCCGGCTCTAGCTCTAAGATTCCCTGAACTTGCTGGGTGGAGACTCCAAGTCCTATCAATCTTCTGATTCTTTCTTTGTGCTGATATAGGCCTGGAAGCACAGGCAGCCTGGCTGCCACCATCATGAAGCAATGCAGGGCAGGAAGTCAAGGTTTGTTTTTAAAATTCAAGATATTGTTTCTAATCTCTTTGACTAATATTGTTGCAAGCTTTAACTGCAGGAGCCCGGGACGTGAAAAATACGCTGACAAGATTTGTTCCTACTATCCTGGTTTTAAGCGATAGCACTGGGCAGGGAGAACCTTATCTCCTCCTCCTCTTCCCTCCCGCCTTCATCTCTGCTGAGCTGAGAAACAACACAACTAAGCATTCACACAAGCCTTCTTCCCCGGCTCCCTCCCCCTGGGCTTGGAATAGTACACTGTGAATAAAAAGGGAGAACCTCTAGAGGTCAGTGTAGCTTAAACAATGGCCGATGCTCAAACTATAGAAGGAAAACTTGCTTACGTTTCTGTCATCACTTGTGCCTATTTCATTCTAATGAGAGAATGGACCATCACCCCATACTGTGCCCAGATGACGAACAATTCCCTTGATGGCTGTTCCCCTTTAATATGCATCTAAACCTTTGCAATCAAAGGCAATACTAATTTGGAATTTTGGCCCATTACAGTCAATTTGAGATATTTTTCTTTTCAACTTTGCAACTTGGATGGCACAGGTCACCCACCTTCTTTGTCCTTTCTCAGGTGCTCACCCAGCTTCTGAACAGACATCAGTGGCTAGAGATCTGTTCTCAATTCATTTTGCATTAACTCTGCCTGATAGATATCCCTGATTTTATGCATCCAACTAAGGCTTACTCTGCTTTCCCAACCCTGCATCTCACCTAGCAAAGGATGCAGTTCTGCCCATATCTAGGATTCATAATCTTTGCATCAGAAAGATACTAGCTTAGTTTGGAGGGAGGTACAAATATTAAAGAGACAGTTTCTGCCCCCACGTAAATGAGACTTGGCAGATAATTTTTTTTTTCTGTTGCCATAATGATCTAAATGTAAAAGGTGACTAATGGATTTAGGAAGGAAATACATAGGACTGAGGAATGTGTGGGAGGGAGAATGTTGGCAGTGATTTGAGTTCTGTGGCACAGAAAACAAGTACCCTGAAAACAAAAACATAGATCTACCAATATCATCCAGATCCTTTGACAATGTCTTTCACATAGTAGGTTCTGACTGAATGTTGAATTGAAAAAGAAAAGTTGAGGCAGTAGAAAAACACACTGGATTCGAATCCTAAAGACTAGGATTTGAATCGTGGCTCCATCATTTACTTGTTGTGTAACCCTGGGCAAGGTAGTTCCTCATTCCATTTAAAAAAAAAATCCATACTCAGAGCCAGGGCTACTTGTTGATAAGAAAACATGTGATTCAGTAAAGGAAAACATCCTTGAATGCTCCCCTTCAACACAATATCACCCATGCATGTGTTAGAATTATCTAATACTTAGTGATAAAAGTAGCCTATAGAATGGCTTTTCCAGTCTCCTCAGCTGCTAGGACCATATCCTCTAAGATTACCTTTTGTCTCGTTTTGAATTTATTTTGCATGTTTTGGTTTATGTATAGAATCTCCTCCATTAGACTATAAGCTCCTCAGAGAGCAAGATGGGTTGTTTTTGTTTTTGCTTTTCTTTTGTATCCCTGTCACCTAGCACTGTCTGGCTTAATCAGTGCTTAATAAATACTTGTTGATTAATTGAGGAGGTGTAGGGTGGGTATGAGCAGGCTACAATACATTACAATGAATTAAATAAAAGAAGGTTTAAAGGATGTTAAAGAAGCACATGACATAAAAATGGACTAATAACGGTGAGAGTGAAGGGACAACCAGTGGACCTCCTGGAGTCTCCACTGGTATCTTAAAGGTGTCAGAAAAGATGCCAGGAAGGCATTCAGTGGGGTTTAGGGGGAAAGATATGGGAAAAACAAATCACACAGGATGGGTAGTCAGAAAAAACATTCATCTTGATAAGATCACAGAGCCATTATAGTAATATCCATGGCAAATTCAGAATCATAGCACATACACTCATAGTTTTGTTATATCTTCTAAAATGCATTTGGACATATACAGTACTGAAAAACATCTCACTAGTAAACCATGTGTCCAAATAACAATTCAAGTTATGTCCTAATAATGTTGTCTCACAGCATCATAGCAAGAACCAAAACAGCAAGTTCTGAAATGCTGATAATTTCTTTCCACTAGAGGGCAGATATATCTGTTGAATACTTTTGAGTTATAATTTTATAATAATGAATGTAAAAAAATGTGAAAAATCTATCTTTAAGTCTTACAGAGTATCCAGAGTGTCTGGTCTCATGTGATGGTATAGGATACTCAAAAATGATAAATATATTAAAGTCTATCAGTGATTTCTAGGACAAGAGGACCTTGTAGCTATCCCTTTTCTCAGAAAGGACAAACATGGGGATAAGTGTTCATTACAAGTTTCCATGCTCATCATGCTCATGGCCTCATTTTTTACCCAGTATACCTGTATGAGCATGCTTTCTAAAAGACTGATTTTTTCCTACAAGTTTTTAAAGCAGCTAGGGAATGTGCCTACTTTCAAATTTTCAATGTTTTGATGCTGAGCATCGAAAGAAAGAAAGAAAGAAAGAAAGAAAGAAAGAAAGAAAGAAAGAAAGAAAGAAAGAAAGAAAGAAAGAAAGAAAGAAAGAAAGAAAGGAAGGAAGGAAGGAAGGAAGAAAGGAAGGAAGGAAGGAAGGAAGGAAGAAAGGAAGGAAGGAAGGAAGGAAGGAAGAAAGAGAAAAAGAAAGAAAGAAAGAAGGAAAGAAAGAGAAAGAAAGAAAGAAAGAAAGAAAGAAAGAAAGAAAGCCTCCATAGATCTTTCTTCTCTCAGATAAGGAAGTAAATGAATACCAGTGCTGTTTTGCTACTGTATTATACAGTTCTGCAAGCCAACAGGGGAAAATGGAAGTCTTGCAAATGTCTTGGTGAGGTAAAAATCATTATGGATTTCTCATTGGCTAACTGGATAGCTGAAAGCCTATTGTAGAGAGATATTTTTTTTTTTCACCAAGAGTGATTGGGCTAGCTATATCTATCAGTATGATGTCAAATGTCCATATTCTTCTCACTTTAACAATACTATGATTTCATTAATGTGAATATTCCCTCCAGAGGTGCAGAACACAGTCCATTTGTGCCTTCTCTTCCAGGTTCTCCCATAAATTCTCTAAATGGAGTCCACTCAATGGTCTGAAAGCTTTCCTCTGGATCTTTTTTGGTGTCACAGGATTCCTGGGTCTGAAGGTAGGAAGACACAAGTTCAAATACAGCTTCAGACACTTAGTAGCTGTGTGACCCTGGGCAAGTCACTTAACCTCTGTTTGCCTCAGTTTCCTCAACTGTAAAATAGTGATAATAATCATACCTACTTCACAGGGTTATAATGGGGATCAAACGAGATAATTATAAAGTGCATGGACCAGTGCCTAGAACATTATAAGAACTCTGTGTAAGTGATAGCTATTATTATTATTGTTGTATGATTTTCAAGGGAGCAAATGGTCTGTCCATGTATTACTCCTGTTCTTGCTTCATGAGCACTCTACCTCACTTTCTAGTTGATGCTCTTTTACATTGCTTCTTGCACACAATTAATCCAATGGTATTAATTGTATTAATTAACTGTAGCCTTTTAATATACATCATGTATTTCTCACTGTTGGAAAGAAGTGAAACTTGGATTTTTCATCTATTTTCATATTTTATGATTTGCAGCTGGATAGCCTTGATTCTTCAGTGTTTCTAAAAATTGGTTATTTGCATTATCTTAAAAAAAGATACTGTGCTCAGAAATCTAAAGGCATTGTGGAGCTTATCAACTCCCTTTGAACAGAGACCAACTTTGAATATTCAGCACTGGATGATTATTTGACAGAAAATCCAAGCCAGGGAGAGAAGAGGAAAACAATGATTCCTCATTATACCAAGCGGGAGTGTAGCATAGCCAGTAGTGTCATTGGGCTGTGACCAAAGGGAAGCATTTATACCATCCAAATACAACCATCATTCTGAGGTGTCTAGCTTGTATTGTTGTTACCAAAGATGAAGAAATACCTAACATTTACATAGCATTTTATAAAAGGGTTTTCCCAAATACTGTACATATATTCTCATTTTATTCACACAGCAACCTGATGAGGCAAGTAACTGAGTATTGGTGAGGTTAAGTGATTTTCCTATTGTCTTATAAATACAGAGTGTTATAATGAGAGTTTGAATAATGATGCTCTGGATTCCAATTCCAGTATTTTATTCACTATATCATATTTTATATGTGTGTATATTTACACATAAATATACATTTTATATAATTTAAAGCATGATTATATTATTCATAATACAATTTATAACATATTTCTTATTTCTCAACTCCATGCAACTTGGATTGCAATTTCACTCAGTTGAACCCAAAGTTGACCAAAGGTCTTATATCGATTGATGACTTGCTTTTACATTATAACATATTGTAATGTAAAATATATTCCAAATATTTTACTCCCTCCTCTCCTAGCCAGGAAACCTTCTTTTATAGCAAACAGTTAAAGAAAAAAGACAAGAAAAAAGGCATTTTAGTGAAATAAATCCACATGTTATCTCTTAGAGTAAATGTGATATGCTATACCCATAGTCCCCCTTACTCCTCTCTTTTGCAAAGAGCAGAGGGGGGAGAATTTTTCGCCTCTTCTCCAGGTTAAAGTTAGTTTAATATGATTACATAGCATTCAGTTTTTTCCCCCTTTTTACATTATATAAATTGTTTTCCTGGTTCTGCTTTCTTTATTCTGCATCAGGTCATGTCTTGTCATATTTCTCTGAATTCTTTATATTTGTTGTTTCTTGATGGCACAATCATATTCCTTTTCACTCATCTAATACTTTGTTTCTGGTTCTGGTTCTGCCTCTGATATATGGTATCTGTATGACCACGGACAAGTCACTTATTTCCAGTGCTAGTCAAGTAAGGCTAAGTTGTAGATAAATACTGATCTGTATTGGTGGAAGGAATTTCCTTATAAGATGGGGTGTGTGTGTGTGTGTGTGTGTGTGTGTGTGTGTGTGTGTGTGTGTGTGTGTGAGAGAGAGAGAGAGAGAGAGAGAGAGAGAGAGAGAGAGAGAGAGAGAGAGAGAGAGAGGGAGGGAGGGAAGCCTATGACAATCTGGTGAAACCTATGGAAGCCTCTTCTTAGAGTAATGCTTTTAAATGAATTAAATAAGACATATGGGATTACCAAGGGAGCCAATTATACTGAAATGGCAATTATCAAAATATTAAAAACAAAAAAAACAAGTTCATGGATCCTAGGTTAAGAACCCCTCCCTGTTTGAAGGATTTCCTTACACAGACTGGGTGTAGGTTTTGACTCTCACAGGTGAGGACCAAAACCCAATGAAAACCCAAATCAAAGAGGATAATTTTTGATGATTAAGGAACAGGCTTGAGGTAGAGTGCTGGATAGGACCCTCCTACTCAGGGACACTCACTGAAGAAGCTCCCTCATGAGGGCTTCTCAGATTTTCTTTGATGAACAATGGTTTAGCAGCTTTTGAAACATTCTTGATATCTTCAGAGGCTAATCAGTCTTTCCATCAGTCCTTGCCCAATCTGAGAGTTTTAAGAAGTTGCAGCTATTTTTGGATACAGTGATTTGAAAGCAAAATGAAAGGTGTGGTTGACAGAGTCTTTGTCATGGCTGTCACTGCTCTGCTTAGGCAACACAAAGCTTTTCCATGAGAGAACAAATACTGGCAGACTTGAGGCCTTGCACAATGTCTCTGAGTCCAGTGCATCTGTCTCCCCTCGACTTCCTTTGTTGCTGTACAAGCTTCTGAAATTTCAATAACACGGCAAGTGTGGCATCCTTCTTCTGATGCTCTCAGAGGGATGACCAAAAATGGTTATGAAATGCTTCCCAACTACCTGCCAAGCAATAAAACTGTTATCTAATCCTTTATGAACTGTTTTAGTGGCTCTAAACACTCTCTGAAGACATCAAGCAGGACTATTGATTCTTGCTTCAGTTGAGGTAGGTTGGGTCTGAGAACCATTGTATTGACAGTTACTGGTCTCTAGGGAATTTTTGTAGGGGAAGAATAAATACTTTTCTTCTTCCTGTCAGACAGATTCTTTCTCTGGAGAGCTCTAAATAAGAGTTAGTGCAGAAAGATTTCTTGAATTCATGTTTTACCCCACACAGAATCACCAGTTACCTGGCTCCGTTGGACAATATTCCTTTTGCATAAAAGCATTTGAAAGCTTAGAGATTTTCCTGTAATCTGGGGTCATCAGTCCTAATTATCTACAGGTCAGAATCTCCTGCCACAAGCTGAGGTGTTAAGAGGAACTTGTCTAATGATGAATTTTGGCTCCTTAACATCTGCCAGCCAATCTAGAAATATTACATTAACCCATAATTGTTGGTGTGTGTGTTCAAATGGTTTCCAACCAGGATGCAGCTTGGAGTGTATTAATGCTTTTCCTGGAAACCTTTATGAAAGAAAAATGAAACCACACCAAACCAGCTGAAGCCTGCAGTCAGGGCCAGTTCTATTCAAAATTGTGAACAAGGCCAAGTTTGCCTTTGGGGACCCTTACCCTTTTCAGTCTTCTCTCTAGCCTTTATCCAAGTAACTTGGTACTTCATGCTAGTTCCTAGTACCTCAGAGAATCACGCTGGGTTGCAAATATGATTTTTGTCTCCTCAAGATGGGCTAGGTCCCATTCTCATAAGGTCCTGTGTTTCGCTAGGTATCAGTGGTTGGGAATGTGGATCTTTTTTAGTCCTCTCAGATATAAATGTTTAATCCAGTCAAAACTATATCAAGAATTTTAGTTTCCATAGCAGATGGAAGGAAGATTTTTTTTTTTGTTCAGGGGCTTTGGGCAAACCTTCAACCATATCCCATGAGCAGTTGTTTACTCCTTCCACATCTATGTTATCTCCCAGGAGAGGATTCTATAGCATCTAAGACCACCCTAAATTACAGGGCAATCTATCCACATCTCTTATTTATCTCAACCATTTTGCTGGGGAAATTGGCTTGCATTAAAGAATGTCTTTATCTCATAGCAGGGAGCCTTTCACTTCTGACTTTTTCTGTGTACTGGCATTAGCTGAGCTCATTCTATGTAAAACATTTCCACAGTTTCTGACCATACCATTTCTCTGCCATGAAAAGGGTCTTGAGAAATTTCCTCATAATTTAGAGGGTTGTGTCCAGGAAATTTTTAACTTGTAAAATACAACTTCTTTCAGAAGGTACAGGGAATCAGATATATTTCTTCTTTCATTCAGAGACATAGTATAGAGATTTAGTAAGTTAATACTATTTTAAATTATCTATATACTACACCTCATGGCACCTAGTGGCTCAGTGGATAGAGCTCTAGAGCTGGAGTCAGGAAGACCTGAGTTCAAATGTGGCTTCAGACACTTACTAGCTCTGTGACCCTGAGAAGTCACCTAACCTCCATCTGCCTCAGTTTCCTTTGCTGTAAAATGGAAATAAGAATAGCAGCTACTTCTCAGTGTTGTTGTGAAGATAAAATGAGATAATATTTGTAAAAAGCACTTAGTACAGTGGCTGGCACTATATAAACACTTATTCTCATTCCCTTTCCCTTCATGGATGGATGAAGCCCTTCCCACCTTTAGTATAAGGACTGCTACTTGCTAGAGGTTGGGGAAAGGAGTGGGAAGATAACATATTCTCAGAAATGGAAGCTACCTTTAATCCAACCCATACTTGAACAGGATGTACTTTTGAAATATTCCTGGAGAAGATTTTTTTTGGGGGGCAGGCTAGACAATGGGGTTAAATGACTTGATCACAGTCACACAGCTAGTAAGTGTCAAGTGTCTGAGACCGGATTTGAGCTCAGGTCCTCCTGACTCCAGGGCCAAAGCTCTTTCTGCTGCGCCAACCCAGCTGCCCCTGAAGATTTTTTTTAAACAGCCAATTTTTGGGAAGTTTTTTTTGTGTGTGTGTGTGTGGGGGGGCAATTGGGGTTAAGTGACTTGCATAGGGTCACACAGCTAGTGTCAAGTGTCTGAGGCTGGATTTGAACTCAAGTCCTCCTGACTCCAGGGCTGGTACTCTATCCACTGTGCCACCTAGCTGCATCTGGGAAGTTCATTCTTATATTGAGCCAACCTATTAATACCACCTACTGCTAGCTTTGTTTGTCCTCCAAAGGTAAAGAAACTCTTAGTTAAAGATCCAAATTAAAAACTTTTTTTTTTGGA